TTATTTGCACAGATCAAGTTAGTATTGACAAGAGGGTTCAATGTATTTTTATTGGGAAGAAAAAAAAACAAAGAAAAAGGTTGAAAAACAGCCCCACATTTTCAAGATAATATTTACAAGATCATAAAGTTCTAAACCATTAATGCAGTGAGATTTTTCTCCGGTGTTCTATGAATATATGGCATGTATGATCTTACAAAGATGGAAGAGAAAGAAACAAGGCGTAAAGAAAAGTTTAAAAAACACCACTCCTTTATATTCTCCCTCAAAATTTCCTACAAGAGCTCTAATAAGTTATACAGATCTATAAAAATAAAAGAAAATTTGATTTAAAAAAAGAAATATTTTTAATAACTGCTTAAAGGAAAATTTTGTGGAAAAATACAGTTTATGACATTTCCAAGATTCACTGACTTTGTATTTTTTCCTGTTTAATCAGTTGATATTTTCAATTTTAACAGGCCATAATGTCTGTCTAAAATTTATATGAAATTTAAAACATTAGAAGTCCATTAAAATTTGATTCAAAATAATCTTAGAAGGGTGGGAATTACAGAGAAAACAAGATCGGTCAAGTGCTGCTAATTGTTGAAGCTGGGCAGGAAGTTTATGGGGGTTCAAGATTCTCTTCTCTCTACATGTTTTAAATTGCCCATAATAAAAGTTTTTTAAAACTAGAAAATAAGTTTATTAAAATACAAAAATGAATCATGTATGGAACAGCATATTTGTTTTTAAAACTTTGGAACAAATGATGGTAATTGTATGAGAAATACTTCAAGAGCAACTTAACAGTATGAATGCAATATATAGGATAACACTTAGACCCACATATAACAATTTTCACCCCTTGTGTTAAATTTTCATTTGATGGAAGAAGTGGGATTTATACAGTAAAAAGTAAAGGAATTACACGACACTGTACAAAGAAAAATGAAACAAACTTTCACACTGAAACATAAAAGAAGAGAATGGTATATGGACCAGAAAAAGACGACTCCAATGAGTTTATAAACCTTTAGGGTCATAATTAAATAGAGTGGTGTTGACTGAAAGTAGTGCCCTGTCCCTCTGAAAGCTAGTTACGCATGTGGCTATAAAAATAAAAGGTTTAATCTCATACCATATACTAAATGCCTATAAAAACTCACTTGTTAAGATACATTCTTGATCTAGTTTAGTTATCTAAAATTCTTATGACTCTTTCTAGGGAAAGTTCCTTTAAAAGTAAAACATTTTTAATAGTCATTTTCTTCTTCTCCTTAAACATAAAAAATACTTCAACCAGCCCAACCAGCCAAGCAGGCCTTTCTCTTCCCCTGCGGACACCTCCTGCAGTAGAGAAGTTCATTAAGTTTTATGATCTTCCCAAGTCAGTCCTGCTTATAAGCCTCACAAAGGCCACAAATCTGGCAAACCATCATGTATGCCATTAGACATTACTAGTAAATGAACGCTATTTAGGGTTTGTGGTAGCAATAAATCACAGTTTGGTTGGCAGCTATCAACATGGAGTATTTTAACCCACAGTTTAAAAAAGAAAAGGCTGTGTTGATTTTTTTTTTAATTAAAATACACAATTTCTTTCACAATAATATGATCCAGATTATACAGTAAAATGCTGGATTTTTGTCAAAAAAATTAAATTTTTTTTCTTGAAAAAGAAGTGTTTTCTACTTCATTCAAATTCCCATAATCAAGGGCTTTGGAAAGAAGGGAGATTTATGAGGATGGAATACTTCACAAAGAAAAGCACTTCAACAATCAAGATCAAGGTGGCCAAAAAGATGTAAGGGAAACACCAGAAGAAGTACGCAGATTAGCAGACCTTGTGGCATTAGGGATATTTAATAAGAGATAGATGGCAAAATATGGCTAGAAAAATCTTAACATATCAACAATTATGTCACTGGTTGCTTACTTAGTTAAAAATGAACAAATATTTTTATTTTAAAGCCTTTAACTTTGTGGCTGCTTTCAAAATACATATATTAAAATTCAATAATGAGACATTTATGCTCAAAAAGAATGGTATGATAAACTTTACAAAAAAAAATACATTTAAGAAAAAGCAAGCATCTTCTTCTAGTAAAAGTACACTTTCCCTACCCTAGAACAAGAAAATAATATAATTGTGGTAGATTACCCATTTATCTGTCAGAAGGGGAAAATATCTTTTCATAATTGCGGGAGGGGGATGTTTTCCAAACGAAATTCCTCATGTCATCAGAACTGGCAGTGTTCACTGCCTGATCAGAAATCTCAAAATATACTGGCAGATCTACAAATATATAGAATTTTATCAAAAAATGATTTTGTCTTATTTTAGAAGAAGCACAATTGAAATGACACTATCCACTGACAGTTCCCCCTACCCCCACTCAATCCTCTACCTCTCCATTACGCAGAACGAAGTCATCACATAATGTTCCTGGTTTCTATTACAAATGACTAGGTAAACTTTCTCTAGATTATAAAGAATTAATCTTTGCATACTACATTATTAAATAAAATGACCTAAAGAAAAAACGTTATGCAGTATACACATATTCTACAATGTTTATTTTATAAGTCCGTGATGTTTCAGAAGCATGACTGTGGGAGCAGATAGGGGGTGGGCCCTGGAATTTACTGCCCTGTTTTCTTTGCTTTGGTAACACTAATGTCTACACAGCTGTTTTATTTCAAATCAAAGATTCTGAGTCTGGTGTCCCTGTCTCCTACTAAGACCAGTTTTGGAGGATAAGGTGAAGCTGTGGGTAGTAGCGAAGAAAGGAGGGGAGACAAAGAGCTTCACCCCCCATCAATCACTCAGTACTTAAATCCCATCCCTTCTCAAGCTTAGAGAGGACTGGCAGGAAGATGCCTCTGCCTAGACAGCCGCCTTTACTTTTTGTCATCTGTTGGCTTTTTACAAAAGAGATAACATGCAAACTTGGATCCGCTGGCCAAAGCACAAAACAAGGATCTAATTTACAAGTTACCACTGAAAGCCTCAGAAACAATTTTCAAAACACAAAAATTTCCTTTGTCAGCTACTTCTTGCTTCTTAAATAGCAACAGTTCTACCAAAGCTCTCTCTGCCAGCAATCCCAGACTCTGAAAAGACTTGTTTCTTTTTCGTAACTCACCTTTGACATGTGGCTGACTATACTTTCCTTTCAGAATGGTGTAACTAAGTCCTGTGCAAATAAGCAACTAGAGGACTTAAACGCTTCCTAATTGAACTCTGCCTGCTGCTAAATGTCTAAACAAAAAAAGCAGTTTGCTGGGTTTGGTTCTCAAGCTGGCTAGGCCAAAACTTAAAAAAGGCAAAAAATTAAATACAAATCACGAGAAGGTGGCAGGAGGAGTATCAATCCCCTCTCCCTAGTACCATAATGCTGTATAAAGTTGAATCAATCTTAATATTCACAACATAGTCAAAACCCCAGTGCTTAGCTGTCAGCAGAAACTGAAGTGGCGCCCTGATAGCCAGAAAACCCTTGGACATTAAGCAACATAATTTACAGAGAATTACACACATTTAGGCTTCTAAACTAAGAATCTTCAAAATTTAATGCTTGATGTCTTATTTTATAGTCCGATAAAAACTACTGTTTTAAATCACAATGCTTTCTAAAGATAACTAAAAATCAACAATAAATAAAAATTAGTAATTTAAAATGCCTGTAGTTTTCGAAACGTAAAATACATTTTACAAGAATCACTCAATCTTAAGAAACCACACACTGAATAAAAAGCAGGAAAAATATTCTTTAGGCTCTCTTAATATTGGCTATTATGTTTGTAGCATATATTTTAATAGACAGGAATAACCCATCATTTTTTTCTTGATTACTGTTAGGATGAGAATAGTATTGTGGAGTGAAAAATCTGTTTAAAAGGGGGGCAACTTGCCTATCAACCTACCAATTATATGTAGTGTTCTATAATATGTACACTCAATTTAAACATAATCACATTTTAAATAGCATCACTTGGATATTTCTATATCCTGGACTTTAACTTTTTCTTCTTTGTCTCAACTTAAAACATGATAACTTTAAAAATACCACATATCCAACACACACACACAAAGAAAGAAATTAATTCAACAGTAAAGCTTATTTAATGTACTTATTTGCTATATAATGCCAAACACATACCAAAGCACCTAAATTAAATCTCTACTTCCACTTGACCCACTACTATCACCTCAACACTAAAATATCTTCAGATTAAGAAAGTCTAAGAAGAAAGTTACACTGAAACGAACTGTCAAAAATTGCCTAGTATATACTTCCAGGTTTTCATTCCAGCACTTCTGCAAAACCTGTTTTCTCATATATCCCCTGCCTTGAACATTGCAAAAATTGTTTAACCTATATCTGCGGACATATCTACTTTATAATATATATTTAGTACCTCTATAAATGCAATAACTTCAAGAATAAAATTTAATACAAGTATAACAGACGTAATGCAGTGTATATGCCTAGGCACATTAACCTTCCTCGCTTCTTAAAAGTATTCTTCCCACCTAAAACACTAATTCAATCATGCTACTTGGGCTCTGTTCAATTGCATCTATTTTTCTATCTGTAGAGCTGAAGCTTAAGACTGTCTAAGTCAAACAAAGTTCCGACGATGCTTCTCCAAGGGACTCGGTCCCTGGCATCCAGTCTCCCGTTGCTCCTTTTAAATACTGACACACAAACAAGGCGAAAGGAGCGGGAGAGGGCTGCTGGTGCTCAGGGCCCCCTCCTCGCCTGCACCCAGGGGCGGCCGCCTGGGAACGGCGACCAGTACGCATCTACACTTCATTTTACACCAGGAGCGGAATTCAGAAATCGACTCCAGATTTATTGCAGTTTTTTCTCAAGATCAGGAGGTGGGAAGGAGAGAATGATCAAAGATGGCGGTGCCCAAAAGCAGCAGCTCTCAACTGGAGAGTGGAAGGAGTAGCTCCGACCTCACCTCGGGGGTCTCCAGGCCACTGTGGGGGCGCAGCGTCTTACCTGTTTTCTCTTTGATCTCACACAGGACGCTGAAGAGCGCAGGTTTCATTCTGTGACAGTTCAGAGCATGTTTCCTAAAAACCAAACAGCAAAACACAAAGGTATTAGCATCACCTATGGAATAATATGGCGCCTTCCTTTAAGTTAGACCCAAGATTTAATTCTGGCTCCCTATTTTGGAAGGCTCTTCAGAATGATGGGAAGTCAACAGAAACTCAAGCTGACTAGTTAGCGACAGCCGGGAAGCTCCGGCGCAAGCTCCAGCCGGAACGAAGCGCGACCCATCTGCCGGGCAGGCAGTAGCCTCGGCAACCGCAGGGCGCAAACCTGCGCGGGGAGCCTAGATACGGGAGCAGCGACAGCGACCCGGGGGTGCGGACCGACGCGGAGACGCTCCCGCGTCCGCCCTCCGCAAGGGGAGCGGGCGCCGCGCCCACCTGCCGTCCGAATGCGGACAGCGAACGAGTGACAGCTCCACAAAGTTTGCGGAGCGGCCCTCCCTTCCCCAAGAACTTGGCCGCCAGCACCCAGACCCGCCGGGTAGCCGCCCATCGCCCCGCGCCCGGGCCGGGGCAGCCGCCCGCACAACGAGGTCGTCCCGTGGCCAAGTTGAGCTCCCGCGCTAGGATTCCGCGCCCGGGGAGAAAGTTGCACTTCCCTGAAGTGCGACCCCGGCCCTTCTCCGGGCAGCGTGCACTGGGCTCCAGGCGGAAGGTTTAAATCCGTGGGAGGGGCCGGGCTGCTAGAGGGCCGGACTGGGGTAAGGCAGTACACCGGAATATCTGCGCGGCACCAAGTCCGTCCCAAACCTCAAGAGCAACTTTCCCGACTCTCGGCTGCGTCGAGGGGCGCGGGCAAGTTCCCTCAAGACCAGAGCGGGCGGCCAGTATTCGGGGAAAGTTCCCCGCCGGGGGCTGAGGCCCCTGCCCCGGGCGCCACCCGGGGCCCCGACTCGGCCGCGGGCCTGGCTCCCGCGCACAAACAAAAGATGCTTAATGAGACGACACCAACTTTGCTTGCGCCTCGTCCAGGCTCTGGTCGGTGATGGTCATAATCTGGTGAAGAATGTCGCCGATGTCCTGCTTCCTGCCGTCGCCGTCCGCCCCTTCGTGACCGTGCGGGGGAGGCGGCAGGGCCATGCCCCCTTGCACGGTGTGCCCGGCCAGGTTCACCCCGGCCAGAGTCTGCAGCATCCTGGATTGATCGTCCATCCCGCCGCGCGCGGGCGGGAGCGGGCGGCGGCGGCGGCTGAGACGAAGGCTGAGGCGGCGGCGGCGACGACGAGGGAGGAGAAGAAAGAAGGGGAGG